AGACAGCGAGGGGCCTGCAGGAGCAACTGGAGTCCCCTCAGTCCTCCATCATAGGAACCAGCGGGAAGGAGAGGGGTCAGTTAGAGGTCACAGAATCCACTCCTGTCCTGGCTGGCGAGAAAAGGAGGGAGAGAGGGTCCTGGTGGGGTCCGGCCTCCAGTCCAGCGCCAGGGAAAGGGGGAGTTCAGCGCCACCTGCTGGCCTCCCCAGGAAAAACCCCAAGTAGATGTAGGGCACTGGGAGGGGGGAGATGGCAGTGTCAGGGTTTGAGAGGGATGAGGAAAGATGGCTGGAGGAGGGGACATGGAGGACTGCGAGGATTTGGAGAGTTGTGGCTGTGGGGTGCAGCCTTCCCAGGCCTCGAGATGCGTGGGGTGCTAGGGCATTACCTCAACCCTGGGAAAAGTCCTGGTGCCTGGAGCCTGGCAGCCAGTGGGAGGGATCTAGGGTGGGAGTGGGAAGAGCTGGGAGGATTTAGAGGCACCCTGGGTGAGTTTGGGAGGGGGCTGTGAGGACCGGTTTCTTTATGTACACCATCTGTATACCACCCCTTATCACAGGGCCTAAGATGCAGTGGTGCTCTATAAATGTCTGATGACTGTATGAATAAGTTAGTTCTATTGATATGTATTTATTGAGCACCTATTATGTACCAGGCTCTGGGCAACATTATGGAAATACAGCAGTGGAAGAATGAATGAACACATGAACAGGGATCTGGGTGGGGGCTGAAGGGTGGGCCTCTCTCCTCCCAAGCTGCACTCACTGGTCTTCATTTGGAGGACTTCACAGCCATTTCCAAGGGGGCTGGCTGGTCACTTACTCATTGTCACCAGCATTTGGACCCTCCTGGGTGTCCAGAGCTGTTCAGAGTCTCAGCACCTCACTCAGGCTGCAGGCACCCAAGCCTAACTCAGGTTGCAGGTGCCCAAGCCAGTTCCCAGTTCTAAATGCAACCATTTAGAATAAGAAGCCTCCTCTTTGAAGCCTAGAAAGGTCATGGCCTCTGTCTAGGGTACCCCCTAAATACACACCTTCAAATCACAGGAAAAATCAGAAGAAGATCAGGACCCATTCCAGATCAGGAAGCTGAGGATCAGAGAGGTGAGGGGACTTGTCCTGAGTCACACAGTCAGTGAACTCTAGAACCATGTTTCAAATTCACTTATGTGTCTCCAGGTTCAGGGCTTGACCCAGTCTGCCTACCACCTTCCCTCACCTCTCAGGACAAGTGTCCAGGGCTCAGGGATTGTTAATTTCCTTCCCTGGAGGGCTCAAGGGGGCTTGTTGCTTATGGAGGCAGTTGCTAAGCCCAATGCTGAGATGACACTGGGGAAGAGACTCACCACTTACCCAACGCTTTCCACTTGCTGGTTCATTACATACCTGAGAGAAGCCTCCTTGAATCTCTGAGAAGTTGGATTTATTATACCCATTTTATTTTTTTATTTTTTTATTTTTTTGTCTTTTTTCGTGACCGGCAACGGATCGCAACCCTCAGTGTCGCGCCTGTACCGGACCAGGACCGGCCACGGGATCGCAACCCTCAGTGTTGCTCCCACCCCTTGCTCAGCCAGTGAGTGGGAACCGGTCTGTATGTGGGATCCGAACCCTCGGCGGGAGCGCCACCGCGCTTCCCAAGCGGCGCACTACAGCAGTGCGCCACCGGGCCGGCCCTATTATACCCATTTTAAAGATGAGAATACTGAGGCTCAAAGAGAGAAAGTGGCTTGCTGTGGGTCATACAGCTGGGAGATACTGGTCTGGCTTAATTCCAAAAATCTCCATCACAGCAGTGATGAGGCCAGCCTAGTTCAATGCTGCCTGAGTGCCCATGCCAGGCCAGCCTGGGGCTGGGTGCTGAGGACATAATGATGAACCACTCTGGTCCAAGCCCTCACAGGGAGCTCCCATGGTTGGGGAAGAGGAGAGAGATGACTCTTAAAACACAGAGAAGGGACTGTTATCTGGAACAGTAGGCACCCAGGACCTACAGCTGCAGAAGAGAAGATTAACTTGAGAGGAAAGCAGGGAGGGCTTCTGGGACAAGGTGATGCCTGAGCTTAATAAGTACTGACAGTGGGAATTAGTCAAGTGAGGGGAAAGAGGCAGAGAGAGAAAGGAATCACTGGCCCAGAGGCCTTGAAGAGCATAGTATTTATGTAGAGGGGAAGCAAGGGAGGCAGAGTGTTTACATGGGGTGGTGGGGGTGGGGGGGCAGGTTGCTATAGTCTCTGGGCTGTGACATTGGGAGCAGGAAAAATAGAAGTGGATTTGAAAGACTGTTCTGAGCTTGCAAGAGAAGTTGGGGCTAGGAAGGGTTTTACTCATTCAACACATACTTATTGAGTACCTATTATGTGCCAGGCACTATATTAGGTCCTAGGGACACAGCTGTGAATAAAATAACAAGGTCCCCACCTTGATGGATCTCACATTCCAGTGGGAGAGACAGGCAATAAACAAGTGAGCTAATGACTAAATAAAACATCTTCAGAGACTTAGGGGCTATGAAAAAAACTAGAGTAATGTGGTGGAGAGTGGCGGA